ATTTATCTGCGAGATTAACAACTCCAAACGCCCCATTAATTTATTTCTTGGATTTTGAAGTGCTAAACCGGCTTCAATACTCCCTAATGCCTCCCCGAAAAAACTCGATAGATCAGGATTCGCCAAGAGAACCCCAGAATGAATCAAAATTAAATTTTTCAACCACATTAACCCAATCTGACGCGAGAGGGTTTTCCCCTGTATTAATCTACTAAGTTCCTCAAATAACGGTGTTATTAAAGACAGTGGTATTTTCCTAATGGTGTTTTTAACGAGTTGTTCGTCTTTTTTAAATAAAACTGTTCGTAAAATATTTTTGTCTTTACTGTGCAACCCTTGAATCAATAATTGTGCCAGATTGTTGGCTTTTGGTACTTTTGAACTGCTGTCTTCTTCATTTACCATCAAATTTTCCAGGCGTTTTTCCATTGGGACTTCCTGTTGGCCGTCATTTTTCCTTTTACTAGGAGCACTACTGCTAGTTTGAGTCAAGTAATGTACATCATTTCCCACAACAGGTGTACGAACTTTTGAAACTTGATTTTCTTTGTTACAAACTGGCTTTTTGTAAATGTCTTCTCTTAAAAGGCACTGAACTTTCTTATAACTCGAAATTGTCTGCGAAAATGGACAAATTAGAAGTAATATTACCACTAACAAATTACTTTCTTACAATCTCCTCGAAAGTTTGAACAATTGAACTACCATAACAAATACAAAGAGTGTCAGCACTACGATATGCTGATGCTGTTATGTGAATTGGATTCACATCTTTAGTGCCAGAATCAGATACTATCTGGATCGTTGTTTTAGGTTTTATGGGCTTGTTGGACCTTTTTCTGGAAATAATGAAGAAAAAAATTGAACACTTATACATAAAAAAGGTTTTTTTGAACATTTTTGTCGTGACAAATAATTTTTAAGCGTGTTTGGACAAGATTTTGAAAAATAATGCTTAAAAATGGTATCAATTTCGATTTAATTTTGTAATTTTTTAGCCTGTTTCAATAATGCAGTTTCAAACTTTTTGTTTTTATCTCTCAAAAAGACAAAATTTTGCAAAATAAGTGTTTCTAGCTGAAAAAAAAAAATTCGAAAAAAAAAACAAAATTAGTTGTCATTTTCGAGTCTGTTTAGTAATATCTTGTAAAAACCAATTCTAATTTTATGTTTTTTGGCTTGTTTTTAACAAAATCTGGCAAAATAATTGCCTTACTGACTGAAAAACGTGGTTAAAACACAAAAATAATTTAATTTTAAATTTAATTTCTTCAATATTAAGTTTGTTTTAGCGAAAAACATACTACAAAAACATACTTAAAAGCATTTCAGCCAAATTTTGTGATTTCTCGGCAAATGTTTTGTCTTGAGAAACAAAATAACATCAACATCAATCCTTTTTGTGATTTTTAGGCGTGTTTGGGCAAGATTTTGTAAAACCATGCTTAAAAATGATATCAATTTCGATTGAATTTTGTAATTTTTTAGCCTGTTTCAATGCAATGCATTGACAGTTTCGAAAAAAGCAAAAAAAAAATTTAATAAAAATTTGGCGAAATAATTGCGTTTCTGATAGAAAAACGTGCCAAAACTTCTAAAAAAATTAAAATTTTATGTAATTCTCGAATTAATATGTTAATTTTTCAGTTCGCTTTAGCGAAATGTCGCAAAAAAAACCTGAGAATGTAGTAGAAAAACGTGCTTAAAACATTCTCGGTTTGTTTTTGTCTTAATTTTGCATGAAAAACAGTTTTTTGATTTTTAAACGTGTTTAGACAAGATTTTGCAAAATAATGCAAAAAATGATATCAATTTCGATTTAATTTTGTAATTTTTAAGCCTGTTTCAATTTCAAATTTTTGTGTTTTTATCTCTCAAAAAGGCAAAAAATGCCGTTTTTGGGCTATTTTGTTGAATTTGTGGCTTGTTTTTGAGAAAATTTTGCAAAATAAGTGTTTCTAGATGAAGAACCATTCGAAAAAAACAAAAATTAGTTGTCATTTTCGACTCTGTTAAATAATATCTTGCAAAAACGAATTTGGTAGTTTCCAATTATTTTTTCTTCGAGAGAATTTCAGGAAATAATCGAATTAAAAGAGTTGGGTAATAATTTCAAAATATTTTTTAATAACAATTTAGTGATGTTTGACCCGCGAAAAAATTAATAGAGTTTCGAAAAAGGCAATAATTATAGCGTTTTCGTGTGTTATTTGGCTTGTTTTTAACAAAATTTAGCGAAATAATTGCGTTTCTGACTGAAAAACGTGTTAAAACACATTAAAAATATAAAAATAATGTAATTTTAGACTTAATTTGTTCAATATTCAGTTTGTTTTAGCGAAAAACATACTACAAAAACATACTTAAAAGCATTTCAGCCAAATTTTGTGATTTCTCGGCTAATTTTTTGTCTTGAGAAACAAAATAACATCAACATCATCAATCCTTTTTGTGATTTTTAGGCGTGTTTGGACAAGATTTTGTAAAACAATGCTTTAAAATGATATCAATTTCGATTGAATTTTGTAATTTTTTAGCCTGTTTCAATGAAATGCATTGACAGAGTTTCGAAAAAAGCAAAAAAAAAATTTAATAAAAATTTGGCGAAATAATTGCGTTTCTGACAGAAAAACGTGCCAAAACTTCTAAAAAAATTAAAATTTTATGTAATTCTCGAATTAATATGTTAATTTTTCAGTTCGTTTTAGCGAAACGTCGCCAAAAAACCTTAGATTGTAGTAGAAAAACGTGCTAAAACATTCTCGGCTTATTTTTGTCTTAATTTTGCTCAAAAAAACAGTTTTTTGGTTTTTAAACGTGTTTGGACAAGATTTTACAAAATAATGCTTAAAAATGATATCAATTTCGCTTTAATTTTGTAATTTTTAAGCCTGTTTCAATTTCAAATTTTTGTGTTTTTATCTTTCAAAAAGAAAAAAAATGCCGCTTTAGGGATATTTTGTTGAATTTAGTGGCTTMTTTTTGACAAAATTTTGCAAAAAAGTGTTTCTAGCTGAAAAACCATTCGAAAAAAACAAAAATTAGTTGTCATTTTCGACTCTGTTTAGTAACATCTTGTAAAAACCAATTTGGTAGTTTCTTCGAGAAAATTTCACGAAATAATCAAATTAAGAGTTAGGTAAAAGTATCAAAATATTTTTTAATAACAATTTAGTGATTTTTGACTCGCAAAAAATTAACAGTCTCGAAAAAAGACAAAAATTATAGCATTTTCGGCCTAATTCTGTGTTTTTTTGGCTTGTTTTTAACAAAATTTGGCGAAATAATTGCGTTACTGACTGAAAAACGTGCTTAAAACACAAAAATAATTTAATTTTAAATTTAATTTCTTCAATATTATTGTTTTAGCGAAAAACATACTATAAAAACATGCTTAAAAGCATTTCGGCCAAATTTTTTTTTGAACATGTCTTTATCGAAATTCTTTTGGTTTCGGCGTTGAAAAATTGAAAATTTACAAAATTATGAAACTCGATTCAGTAACGTTTTATGCACTTTTTTGAGTCTCTAGCACCTCTAGAAATGTGAAAAACGTTATACGGAACAATTTTAAAGTTGAATTTTTTTTGGATTTTTGTCGAGATTTTACTCGATTTTTGGTACCCGGAACGGTTTATTGCCAATAACTCCGGACTTATTGGTAATAACCTCTTATGTTTGGTACCGTTAGAAAGCAAATTAAATTTTCTATCATATAAAAAAAAAGATCAATGTTCTACGATGAATAGTTATCGAGAAAATTTCTGATAAAGTCAAAAATATTGAGAATTTAAATAACTTCAAAACTACTACGAATTTTGCAGTTTTTTTGACGCCAATGGATTCCCCGGAACATTTTACATAGGTCTACGTCAAAATATTATATCATTTGGGTACAGTTTTGCCGCAATTTACAAAACAAAAAATGTAAAAATTTGTTTGTTAACATTAACATTAAAAATTGTGTTTTTGAAATGTTAAATAGATCAGTAGAAGTAGATTTTTTTTTTGAGATTTTGGTCGATTTTTGCCGGTCTATCGGACTAATTGGTGATAACTCTTATGTTTGGTACCACTCGAATTACGCATATCAAAAATATAGCTTAAAATGTTAAATAAGTACTTTACAATAATAATAAAACAAAAGAAGTGGTTTTGGTCTCAAATTGCCTGAAATTTCACAAAAATCAATTGATCCATTAAAAAGTGTAGAATTTTTTAAGAACTAGAGCAAAAAAACTAAAAGTGTAGAATTTTTTAAGAACTAGAGCAAAAAAACTGGAAATAATAATTTAAAGTCATTTACCCATTTAACGTGTGTTGATAGACGTGCACAACCCCACTCCTAGCCGTCGCAGCCATATGCGAAGCCCCCTCATGATCAACAAAAACCGATAAATTATTCACAATATCCTCCATTAAAAAACTAGCAACTGCATTTTTCCCATCTTCGTTTAAATTCCAACAACTTAACAATCGATCCCCCTTAAAAACACATTTAGCCAAAAACTAGCCCACAATTCGATAAAATACCCACTTTTGAGCCACTAACAACGTACGCATTTCCTGCATTAATATATTCAAGCATTGTTACAGGAGAAGAGTGTCCTGTGAACGTTTTTAACACTTCTTTTGACTCCACATCCCAAAGTTTGATACTTTTTGAGGCAGTTAACAATTTATCACCAAGTGGTGTGAGCAAAATTGCGTAGATTTTGTCATTACCAGCAATCCACTTACTAAAATACAAATATTAAAGGAAAATGTCATTTAAAAAGTACATTTTTACGTGTTGACATTTCGTTTTGTTAAATTCCATACTATTACATGAGTGTCAGCACCCGAGTACACAAATTCGTCATTTTTTGAGGATAAACAATTAATAGATTGACTTGTTGTGCTATCAATTGTGAATTCCAAATCGCCTTTTACTAAAGAATAAACCAAAAGGTGTCCATTGCTTGTCCCTAAAGCAATACAAACATTTGACTCTTTCAAAGACTCTCTCCTTTTTTTCTTGCGAGGGGACCCGGGCTGAAACAAATAGTAGCAAAAAAAATTAACTGAGCACATGGTTACCTTGCTTGCTGAACTAATGAAATGTAAACATGTACACGGCGATGTTAGGTGAAAATCCGGTGTAAATTCTTGTTCGAAGGTATTTGAGAGAGTGTTCCACACTTTTAGCTTGCCTTCGGGTGTGATTTGGGCAAAATATTTGCCCTCTTTACTGAATTGACATGCCATTCTTGCACTAACCGCCATTAACCATTTAACCACACTTTTCACGATTTCTAACTTACCGACTGGGCACATGTCAAAAAACAGTGGCGTGCGGGGGAAAACTACCCTCATTTTAAGAAAATAAAATTCAGGGTGATTATAAAACGGTTGTTGTGTGATTGGGACGAAGAAATTTGCGCTATTGTGGCAATTCTCACATTTTTGTCGATTTTTTTGACAGTCAATTTGACATTAAAATGACAGTAATAACAATTGTGTGCTGGCACGAAATTATTTTATTTGTTAGAAAATTTTATTAACAATGTCGTGGCTCAATTTAAATGACAGTTTAAACAGTCTTAAAGGGCAGTTGTCCAATTTTGCGAATAATGTTTTGGCTGAGGACGATTTGAAAGGTAATTTCACCCTTATTGTTGATTGAAGTAAGGTTGTTGTGAAAAGAAAGTGACAGTTGTGTCTTAACCTCAGTTTTTTGTTATTATGTGTTATTAAACTTCTTTTTGTTGTTTAATTAAAGTTCATAAAAAGTAAAAAAGCATTGAAAAAATAACCTAGTTTTTAAAAGTTGTGTTTATTTTCAGATGGGGACACTTCACAAGGTGAATTAGAAAAAATACAAGAAATATGTAGTCAGCAACAAGAAGAAGTAAGTAAACATCAACAATTTTTTATGTAATACTAACGTAAATATTAATTACAGATTAATTACCTCAAGAAAGTCAATGCTGAACTTCGATCAGGGAACAATGCAAATGTGGTAAGTTGGTATTTTAATTTTTTTGATTATTTATAAACTGTCTCAAATAAACACAATTGTGTTTTTTTTAGTAATGTTTGCTAAATTTTAGAAATATTTTAATATTTCTAGATCAGTACAAACATAATTTGGCCTTCGTAATCACATTTAATCAATACTAAACTGATGGGTCTGGATTATAGCTGTCAACAATATGGATTTGTTATCACCTTTTATTGCAAAAATTTTATTACATCCTGTTTCTAAGCAAAATAGTCATTGTTACTGCACAAAAAAGGAAACTAAACACTTGTTTTCAAAAAGTCTTTCTATCAAGTAGGCGTCCTAGTTGAGGACGTATGTCGCAGTTCGTATGTTATCTAAATGTCAAAAAATTCTTATATAAAAATTAAAACATTGAGCTAATTAAATTGAATTATTCTATGAACGTCTCAAAACAAACTAAAATAAGATTTTGTTGGTGTTTACTCAAAAATCGTTCCTGTCATAATTTACAAAAAAAAATATTTTGACATTTCTCATTTGTCATTGTGACATACGTTTTAAATTTCTACGCTTGCTTGATCGCACTGTATTTTATTAAAAATATGTAATTAAAATAACAATTTTTTGTTAGCTCATTTCAGTCATTTTTCTTGATTTTCAAATGAAAAAGATTTGCGTATAATTGGTTGCATTTACAGTTTGGGTGGGTGAGAAGGCCATTTTATAAGCTTGACAATAATGATTATATTACAAGGGAGGAAAGTATATCTTTTCTTCTCACAGGTGGCAAAATTGGTCACTTTCCTTTATGAAATTTGGGTGGAAAAACTTATTTCTGTTAAGGTCGTAGGAAAAATTAATTTCAAAATTACGAGTTTTTTGAAAATTTTCAAAATTATTTTTTTTGCAACAATAGTGTTTTTATAACAAAATTGATGTTAGGTGGCAGTTATAATACTCTACCTACTCTAATTTGTTTTTTATGTGGATCACTTGTTATCTTTCGTATAATAATGGGGTAATTAATAATCTGAAGTATAAAAACGTCGCCTATTCGTTTTTACGGTTTTATGTAAATTTTTATATGCTGTTTATTCTAAGTGAATAAAAAGTATGGAATCAATCATTTTTTTTACATAAATTGCAATTTTGTCAAGAATAAAACTTTTCGAAATTTTCTTTTGTTTTTGAGTTCTACAAAAGTGTTTATTTTTTTACTTTTTCTCATGGAGGTTATGATTTAAGGATTACAACTATCTACTTTATATTTAATTTTTCCAAAAAAGTTTTTTACATAAATTGCAATTTTGTCAAGAATAAAATTTTTCGAAATTTTGTTTTGTTTTTGAGTTCTACAAAAATTTTTTAATTTTTTAATTTTTTGTGATGAAGGTTATGGAGGTTATGATTTAAGGATTACAACTATCTACTTTATATTTAATTTTTCCAAAATTTTTTTTACATAAATTGCAATTTCGTCAAGAATAAAATTTATCGAATTTTTTTTTGTTTCTGAGTTCTATAAAAATTTTTATTTTTTCTCATGGAGGTTATGATTTAAGGATTACAACTATCTACTTTATATTTAGTTTTTCCAAAAAAATTTTTTACATTTTGACAATTTTGTCAACAAAATTGCATAACTCAAAAACAAAACAAAATTTCATTCTCAAAATATGATCTTTTTTTATATTACTTTAGTTTATTATAATTATTTTCGGGAGGCAAATCATTAAAAACATGGCATGGTTTCAAACTTTATATATTCACCCTGCATAATTAGATAGGAAAACTCGAAGTAAAATTTTTGTAACGATTTCGAATTGAGTATAAAATTTTAACAGTGTAAAAATGAATATTTCACTTTTGGTTGAAGATTTTTTCATTGGTTTGTAAAGTTTCTAATTTATATTTTTTGAATTGAAGACAAATTTACACCAAAAGAGAAACAATAAACCTGAATAATAAGTAAACCCCGATTCTCATGTTGCACATTTCTGTAAAATAATCAAAAAATTATTTAACTGAGATCAAAAAGCGAATTTTGCGACCTTGAAATTTACAACAATTTTTCTACCATACCCAATTTATAAACGTTTCTTGTTTACTTTAAAAATACTAATTAATGAATCATTTTATTGGATTGTTATGTTTTTGATGTTTGTAATAGAATTTTTGTGAAGCAACACTAGAAAAAAATGTGTTCCAAAAATTGAGTTTTGTCACATATTTTTTTTGTAATTTTTTGTCACACAAATGTTCGTTAAAAATGTGTGAACTGGTTTTCCAACACATCAAGCCTTAGGAACCCATTTTTATATTTAGTTATAACAATATTAAACACTGTTATCGAAAATAAACAGACAGATGTTATTATTTGTTTTGTTGATAACGCTCCCCTACAAAGTTAATTTCGTCCAAAATGGCCGTTGTAGCGTTTAATTTCGTTGTATTACATTAGGTTTTTAACACAGAGACATTTAAAAATTTGCAAAAAAATGCATTTAGTTCATTTTAGAGATTGGAATTGACGCTTACAAAAATGCAAAAAATAATGGTATTTGTTCAAGTTGAACAAATAATATATTTAGATAAATAAATATATACAGTAGTCGTTATTTTAGCCTCGTCAATATTTCAAAACTCCTGGTTCATTTTTTGTATAAATTTATCAAATATAGTTTTGCTTTAAAAAGTTTTTTCAAGTGTTTTGACATTTTTAATTTTGCGATAAAAACTACGCTTTGTGTATTTAGTCGAAGTTATTACATATTTAATAAACCCTCCGAAACCATTAATAAAAATTATCATGATGCAGCATGTAAATACTTATGTTCAAGAGAAAATCAATATTGCTATATCTATTTTTTCCTCCTAAAAGTGTTAATTCTTATCAGTGTATCCATGACAACAAAATTGTGCTATAAAATGAAATTCACACCCTGTTGAATTGTCTTTTTGGTTTTGTTTCCACTACGAGATGGTCAGGTGAGTCATATTTATTTATTTCAACAATTTTTAGTTTAGTTAAAACTGTTCAATTTTTTGGGGTTTTATTTCAAGGAAATTTGTTTCAAGTAGACACTTCAAGGTAAAAAAACATTTATTGACAAAGGCACTATAAATTTAGAAGTGATTAGCAAATAGGAATACATGTTACAAAATGAAATAATCTTAATGATACTTGAAACTAACCTACTTTGGGTATTGTTTTTATTAAAACTTGATAGGAAAAAAATTACTAATCTACATACTTACATATTGGAAGGGGTGATGTAACATTTTTTTGAAAACCGGTATTTTAAAACAATTTTTTTCGCAATATTCTTTTATTGAAAAAGACTAAATAAATGTTTAAAAAAAGCACAAATAAATAACACTATTTTTACTTAATTCAATTACATTCCGACGTATTTTTGTCAAAATTTTGCGTTTTTTATTGAAAAATGTTTTAAAACGCTCGAAAAGAGCAAAAATTATGTCGTTTTTTCTTTAGTCTGGTATATGTATTAATTTTGGTATGTTTTTTTAGCAAGAATTAAAGAAAAAACTTTGTTTTAGGCTTAAAAACGCAACTAAATTTTTCAAAAAAGCAAAAATAACATCATTTTCGAATTAATTATGTGATTTTCCGGCTTATTTTTGACGAAATTTTATGCTTTTGATTGAAAAATCTGCTAAAACGTTTGGAAAAGCAACCAAATGATTTTTCTTTCGGCTCAAAACATGCTTAAACTCTCCAAAGAAGCAAAAATAATTTTAGTTTCGTGATAGTTTATTCATTTTTTACCTCATTTTCGATGAAAATTTTCAAAACAATTGCGATTCTAAAAAAACGTGTCCTAAAACGGAAGAATGGTATTATTTTTGAACAAAATTTTTAGCACAATCTAAAAAAAAAATAACACCATTTTTGAGTAAATTTAGCGATTTGTGACGAAATAATTTTGTAAATTTTTAATTGAAAAACGTACTAAAACGCCCAAAAAATCATAAAAAAGGTCATTTTCAACCCAATTTGGTAATTTTTCAATATGTTTTAACAGAATCTTACAAAAAAACGTGATGTAAACAAGCAAAATTCATTATTTTTTATTTAATTTGGTAACTTTTCGGTATATTTTTGTCTAAATATTTCGAGATAATTCCGTCTCTTATTGAAAAATATGGTGTTAATATGAAAAACCGTTTTCGAAAAGTCGATAAACTAGCTTCAAAATTACTCCAAGTAAACAAGAAAAAAAATCTTTTAAATGAGAATATTAATTTTCGGAACAGAATAAAGTGGACTTTTTTATATTGTGCCGTTAGAATTTCATTTATAAATGTTTTGTTAAATTTGAAATATTTTGATAAAGCAATAGTTATCACAAAGTTTATATTAGAAAATAAAGCTTGTTTTTGGTACATAACACTTTTATCAGTTTTTTAATAATATAAACTAATGCATTATAGTGGATGAAGGGGTCATGTACATTTGATTGTTAAAAAATCTATAAAAAATTATTTGTCAATACATACATAAATTGGTTACTATCAAAATCTAGAATGTGAATTTTGTTTTTTTTTTTTTCATTTTTTCTTATAATTTTTGCTTAATTTTCCTAATTGTAAAAATTTTAACTCTTATTGTGGTGTAAAATAAGGAAGAAATAGAAGTTTGTGTGTAATTTTGTCATCGAAATAACCCGATTTGGCTCCACTTGAAATTCATTGGTTTTTAATATACATTTTGACTCATCGTTACTGCCAGTATTATTATGTAATAAAACTAGAAAAAAAAATATGGTTTTGTGTTTTGCCAACAAAGTCTAAAAAATTGTAAAATTAGGTCAAACTTTCTATGTTTTTTGTTCGTCTCTATTAATAATTTAGAGCGTTATTAATATAAAAATTCACAAAATTTAAAGTGGAAAACCGCTGAAACTTACTGTTTTCTATGAATTTAGGAGCGTTTTTCAGCAAGAAATCTTGCCAAAACAAAACCTAAAGTAGATGTTTTTGTTGATATAAGT